ACACACACAACACACACAACAACACACACACAACACACACACAACACACATGTGCCTGTGCTGGTGCGTGGCGCGTCTGTGTGTGTGTGTGGTGTGGGTTTGTGGATGTGTGTCTCTATGTGTGTCTCTGTGTGTGTCTCTGTGTGTGTCTCTGTGCGTGTGTGTGTCTCTTTGTGTGTGTTTGCGTGCGTGCGTGCGTGCGTGCGTGCGTGGGTGGGTGGGTGGGTGGGTGGGTGTGTGGGTGTGTGGGTGTGTGGGTGTGGGTGTGTGGGTGTGTGGGTGTGTGGGTGTGTGGGTGTGTAGGTGTGTGTGATGTGTGTGTGTGTGTTGTGTTTGTGTTGCGTGCGCGTGCGCGCGCGCACGCACAGAGGCACGCGCGCACACGTGCACACGCGCAGGCGCGCACGTGCACGCGCGCGCACACCCACAGAGAGACCCACACAGAGAGACGCACACAGAGAGACACACACACAGAGAGACACAGACGCAGAGACACACACACACAGAGAGAGACACATACACACACAGAAAGAGACGCACGCAGAGAGACACACACACAGAGACACACGCAGAGAGACACACACACACAGAGAGACACACAGAGACACACACAGAGACACACACACACAGACACACACACACAGAGAGCCACACACACAGAGACACACACAGAGACACACACAGAGACACACACACAGACAGAGACACACACACAGAGACACACACACAGAGACACATACACACAGAGACTCACACACAGAGACACAACACACAGAGACACACGCACAGAGACACACACACACAGAGGCACACACACACACACGGAGACACACACAGAAAGACACACACACAGACACACACAGACACACACAGAGACACACCCACACACAAAAAGACGCACGGAGACACACACAGACACGCACACACAGACACACGCACACAAAGACACACACACAAACACACAGAAACAAACACACAGAGGCATACACACAGACACACTCACACACAGACACACAGACACACACACACAGACACAGAGACACACACACAGCCACACACACACAGACACACGTACAGAGACACACAGAGACACAAACACACAGAAACAAAAGCACAGAGACATACACACAGACATACACACAGACACACAGACACACACACACAGTGACCCACACACAGAGAGACACACAAACACAGAGAGACGCACACACACAGAGAGACACACACACACACACAGAGACACACACACACACGCACAGAGACACACACACACAGAGACACACACACACGGACACACACACAGACACACGCACACACACACAGACATACACACAGACACACAGACACACAGACACACAAACAGACACTGAGACACACACACACACAGCCACACACACAGACACACGCACAGCACACACAGAGACATACACACAGACACACACACAGACACACAGACACACACACATTGACCCACACACACAGAGACACACAAACGCAGAGTGCGTCTCTCTGTGTTTGTGTGTCTCTGTGTGTGTGGGTCAATGTGTGTGTGTGTCTGTGTGTCTGTGTGTGTCTGCGTGTATGTCTCTGTGTGTTTGTTTCTGTGTGTTTGTGTCTCTGTGTGTCTCTGTGCGTGTGTCTGTATGTGTGTGGCTGTGTGTGTGTCTCTGTGTCTGTGTGTGTCTGTGTGTCTGTGTGTGTGTCTGTGTAAATGTCTCTGTGTGTTTGTCTCTGTGTGTTTGTGTGTGTGTCTTCGTGTGTGTGTCTGTGTATGCGTGTGTCTGTGTGTGCGGCACACACACAGAGACACACACAGAGACACACACACACGCACAGAGACACACACACAGAGGCACACACACAGACACACACACACACAGAGCCACACACACAGTGTTAAAACCCTCCTGGCCCCGTGCCTAAATTGGGAAGCCGTTCTGAGGTCCATGTTCTTGTTGGTTGGAGCGTTCCTTTGGTTGCCACATTTGGCTCAAGGCTCAAGGCTCAAGTAGGGCTTAAGGTCTTGCATGAACTACGTTCGCCTGTGATCGATCTGTGTGAGAGAAAACAGGTTCATTCGCGCCGCTGATATCGGGTGTGTATTTGCGGTTATTGGACAATACCCCTTACAACAGTCTGCGCTGGTTTGGCTGTATCGGTTTGGCCGTATATCCTTTCTACGTGGTTGAGTACAATCAGGTGGAAGCTTGGTGGACAGCGTCCCACGGGACGTCAACTTGCTCTCTTGACAGGTTATCAGCCGTACAACAAGCTCTACACTGGTCGGAGAGACAGCTGGTTTATTGCGGGTGCAGGAACTGCAGAAGAACAATAACCCACACAGTACAATGGAATCTTCAGCGAGCCCAAGTACTGCAACTTTTGGGAACGACAGTTCGGAGGGATCCAATGGATTGATGGTCTTCCTGTGGTAATGGATATGGTTGCAGATTCGCAGGATGAACCTGGAAGCGGTGCATCCGCACTATTCAGTGACATATCCACGCCCACGAGATCATGGAGTCAAGTCGCTATTCGCCAGGAGTCAAAACAGAGAGATTCTCCGCCGAGGAGATCATCATCTTCACCGGCGACCCCACGAGCGTCGCAGAAGAGCGTGAGATCGGCATCGAAAGGTGGGAGATCCAAATAGCCCACGAGTGCCGAGATTCGCGCCGCAATCAAAGAGAAGAACAAAATGAAGATGGAGATCGGGGAGTATCAGAAGACGATTGACGAAATGTCGGCGGCAATGGCGAATCTTCATCAAGAAGACTATGGGAGCACCATCCGGATCCAGGAGCTGGAGAGACGATGCGAGGTTGCCAGCAAGCAATCGGGGCACCTTGTGAGTCATCACCAACACCACATGGCAGAGGCCTGGCGCAAGTTTGAGGCGGAAGCCCAACAAATGCGTGAGGCGGAAATGAACGCATATCAATACGGGGAAAAGAAAGACATGGAGTCGAATGCGATGATGCAGCAAATGCGACAAGCTGAGGGAATGATCATGGAGCAGAAACGGGAGATTGCAGTGATGAGATTTTACATGGCAAGCGAGAAGGCGGCTGCACAGGAATCAGCTATACATGCAAATCAAATTCACCGTGAAGCTTCAAAGCAGATTTCCGTTTACCAACAGCAGATCAGAGGGATTGAATCGTCTACATCTATCGAGAAGTTCAACGAGGAGGAGATGGTTCAAAGCCTGAAGTCACAGTTGGAACATGCACTGGTCAAGCGCCCCGAAATGTACTCAATGGAGGACACCAGGGAGCAGCTAATGACAAGACTGAATGACGTGACGGCATTCGCGGAACAGGAATCAAAAAGAGCAGAGTGCCTACTTCGAGAGAAGGAAGAGATCGTCAAACAGTATGAATCCGACGTGTCAAAGAAAGATCAGATGATTGCTATAGAAGGTGGTCATCGTCAGGATGCAATCTTGGAATTGGCCCAGGTCAGGGAAGCAACACAAGAAGAACGGTGCACGATGGACGAGAAGTCGAAAGAGGCTGAGTTCTGGAAGTCGACAGCTAAAGGGCTGTATGACGAGTACCTCGAGGAGATGCGCAAGCTTCAAGAACAACTGAAGAATCGGGAGGCGATGCTCAAACAAGAAGAGAGCTTCGTTCGTCAGCTCGATGCGGACAATGAGGAACTCAGAACACTCAAGAAGCTGGAGACACAGGAGGCCTCGAGCAAGAAGGATGAACATCGTGAACGAGCAGTAGTGAAGCGCCCTGAGGGAGGACCCCAACTTAATTCGATTAGGGAAGACAAGAAGATGACCGGGACATACCCGTCATCATCATCCAATTCGATCCCTAATTCGTCACTAGTGCCGGGTTCGATTCTCTTTCCATCTTTTGGTGATCCAATGATCGACGTACACAGATGCAAGGGGTTGTCGGGCTAGTCCCACAACCTACTACTACAACTGGTGGTGGTGGTAATGGAGGGGGAAACAATGACAATACACCTCCATTGGATTACAACGGATTCTCGTTCGGTGGAAACCAGCAGGGACCTCACTTGAGTCTGGCAGGTGCAGGAGGACCTCCGGATGTACCACCCGATGATGAGGATGAGGATGACGATGACGAAGAGGATGAGGAAGACGAGGAAGATGAGAATGACAATCGGGCACGGAGGGGACGCAGACGATTGAGGGATGATCGTGAGATCAAGAACGAGAGGCCGAGGATATGAAGGAAAGAGGCTGAAAGGGTATCCATTCCCAATTGGCCAAAGATCCATCAACTCGATAACTGGAAGATGCAATTGCTGATGAATG